TCCTCTGTCCCAATTTCTCAAAATGGAAAGCCCTTGTTGTTTGCAGTATTTATTTACAATATCTGCATCGTTCAAAATGTCAGCCCATATTTTACTTGAAAATTGTATCAGAAGGACCAGCTGGGAAAGAAACAGAGACCATTGAAAACCAACTTCTTGCTCTGGTGAAATGTGAAAAACTTGGCAGAAGAGGCACAAAATTTTCTGCTGAGGCAGAAAAGAACAATTCAGTTGATAGTAGATACTATAAAATTTTCTGCTCAGGCAGAGAACGCCCTATCAAATCTACTCTATTTAAAACATACTCTAAAATGTGCTTAAAAGTAGTGAAATGGTAGAACAACATGATAGGAATATCCTTTTTTTTTTTTCCTACCCCAAATTCTTTAAATAATTTCTGTAGAAGTAACTTTTGAATTAAGCAGGTTTCCCTGCATTAAATTTAGGAAGGTAGAATTAGTTTATATCTTGCATTAGAGAAAGTAACTTGGGATTTGACAAAAACCCAACCCTTTCATATTAAAAGATGAGAGAGAGAGACAGAAATTTGACTGTTCTCAGAAAAGCATTAGAGCTTTGGTCTCCTTGGTTTTAATGACAACTCAGGAAAAAATTGGCCATCAGTCTGGACTGCAGGCGGCTTTAGGGGGGGAAAACTGATGCTCCACGACGCTGGTGCTTCTCTGTCCTAGAATAACTACGATCAAAACATCAGTAACGACACAGTTCTTGGAGAAACTATTTAGAGAAGCACGCCGTACGCAGCGCCAAGTCCTACGTTGTATACTTGAGTGTAATTAAACAGCCTTATAAATTCCAAAGTTTGGATAGTGAGAGGCCCAATTTTTTTGCAGTGATATATCATGAGTCCCAGAATTACGCAGCTTCAGAAAGTTCTCCAAGGCTCCCCAGCTTGCAGCTGGAGGTGGCACGGGGGACTAAACATGGCTATCATTTTATCACACAGTATAAAATTCTATCCAGCTACTAGAATTTTCCATGTACTGTTTAAGAAGATAAAACCCAAGAAGCAGATGTAAACCTCACTCTTCCTCCTTAAGTTTGCATAACCAGTTTTCTATTTCATTAACGCAATGTTTTTGCACCATTCTATGGGATTAACAAGAAAAAAAATATTATGAATACTTGTAATGTATCATTTTGGCTTCTTTCACATCCAAAACAAATAGTATAAGTCAGTAAGTGCCATCTCAGTTTAAGGATGAAGAAAATCCACAGTGTTCACGCTAAAACTGCTATATGCATATGAAAAATACCCCAAAATTCCAAACGCCATCTCAGTTTAGGGATGAAAATCCATGGTGTTCACGCTAAAACTGCATATGAAAAATACCCCAAAATTCCAAACTCTTTTCTAATACCCAATTTAAAGCATGAGGGCTGTGTGTAACCTCCAGAGAGCAGCACAGAGGAAGAACAATTTAAAACATTAGGGCTGTAACCTCCAGAGAGCAGCACAGAGGAAGACTCAGCTCCTCTGGAGCATTTCACAGTCCCACCAAAGGACGTCCAAGGACGTTGGACTGGAGTTGACATGCATCAACCAAGTCAAAGCCTGGGGAAAGAGATGGGCAACCTTCAATGCAGATGAGGATCTGTGCAGACTCACCCGGAGTAAAAGGGGTGCAAATTGGAGCCAGAATACAACTGTGAGTCTGGAAAGTGAGTGAGATGAGGGAAGACTGGTATTGTGTGAGAATGGATAATGAACTTGGAATAGAAACCGGCTGATACTAGGAATTACATGGATGAGGGAGAATGAAAATAGACATCAGGATACAAGACATACAAGGAACTAAAATACAAGTAAGAACAGCTGAATGTGAAACTGAATCACAGAACTGTCTAGGCTGAAAGGGACCTCTCAGATCATTGAGTCCAACCATCAACCCAACACTGACAAAACCACCACTGACCCATGTCCCTCAGCACCACATCTGCCCAACTTTTAAACACCTCCACGGATGACAACTCCAACACTTTCCTGGGCAGCCTGTTGGTGGCAACTCCAACACTTTCCTGGGCAGCCTGTTGCAAGGCTTGACAACCATTTCGCTGAAGAATTTTCTCCTAATATCCATCCTAAAACTCCCCTGGCACAACTTGAGGACGTTTCCTCTTGTCTTATCACCTTTATTTGGGAGAAGAACTCCCCTCTCTGCACCCTCCTTTCAGGGAGTTGTAGAGAGTGGAGAAGGTCTCCCCTCAGCCTCCTTTTCTCCAGGCTGAGCCAAGAAGAATGAAAGCATGACTTCAATAAAAGAAACCCAGGCCAACAATATTTTCAATTCCTGTGCTTTTCATGGAGGAACCCTGCTCTCGCTTTTCTGGCTTGAAGGAATCTTCATGGAGAGAACAGCCCAGTTCTGCAACTACTGTAGAGAGTAGAGGAACCCCAACAGCTCATCAAAAGAGCTGCCAAGGGAAAATGCCTCTGCAAAATAACCCGGGATTCAAAGACTGGGTTTTGCCAGAAAGTCTTAGAGAGAAAACCTGTTGCTAAAAGATATAGCAAAGATTAAAGGCAAATTCTTAATTCTACCTGCAGAGCAAGGTTTGAAAACCATACAGTACAAAAGATCTGGAACCACACGTTGAACAATTAAAAATACTAGATAGCTGCATACTGATTAAATACCACCTATTTAACGCAAGGATTTCCTTCTATGGAGAAAAATAGCATGTTATCATATAATTAAAGACTGCATGATAATGTACAAGGTAGAAGTGGGTGAACCAAGGTCACTAAGGTTTTGAAGTATTAGACTGCAAGCACAGTAATGCGTATTAAATACAAAAAGCCCTTGCATTTAAAAATAGATCAAATGGAATAGAAACAGTGGCTGCACATACCTATACGGCTGCGAATGTTTTAGTATCAGTAGACAAAAGGAGCGCAAAATAAAACCTAAGATGCTGAGAATGAGCTAAATGGGGTTTTTTTTGATTTTGTAGAAGCATTCAAGAGGTTTATCCATATGTACGTATTAAAACTTCAAGGAAATAACCAGTAAAACATTTTTACAAATATTCAAGAGGTTTATCCACATGTACATATTAAAACTTTAAGGAAATAACCAGTAAAACATTTTTACAAAGAAATACTTTCCCTTTCCCAGTTTTTCACATACAAAAAAATGTTTGTTCTTAATCCAAATGCAAACTTTGACACATATTCCCCCCAAAACCCTTGGTTTTCCTTTACCAACACAAAAAAATGTTTATTCTTAACCCTAATGCGAACTTTGACACATATTCCCCCCCAAAACCCTTGGTTTTCCTTTACCAAAAGTTGTAGGTCCCTATTTTAGAACAAATGAAAACACGCGCAAAGGTCTATCCTTTGAAGGAAACCTGGAACAACAAAACAACCCCCAAAATTTAACCTCAGCATGACAGAGGTATAAATAACCTCTCTCGGCTCAGTAGTGTTTATCTTTTAAATGAAAAAGGTCTTCCGTTTTGGGGGTCAAAAAAAAAAAAATAAGGAAAAAGAAAAGAGAACTGCCTTCATTTCTTTCTTAATTTGAGCTTCCCTCTAACAAACATCTCCTCTTTGTTTCCTTATTTTAGCTCCTGTAAGTCAGTTATTTTTTTAACTCTTTCCCACCTGCTGTTCTCTTCCAGCATCATCTGGGAGCTGAGAAAAGCCAGAATGATGCACAACCTGATGGAAAACCAGGGCTGTGTTGGCCCAGACACACCTGGCAGTGCCCATTGCATACGGCAAGATACACCAGTAACATCATGTTTCAGTGCCCTTCCAGCTGAATTTGGGGTGAAAAAAATCCCCCAAAAAGTCAAAAGGGGGGTTTCATAGGTGTTGCATCACATGGTGAGAAAGAGTTTCAACAGGGCGACAGCATCCTAACGCCACAGTGAGTTTTATTCTTCAAATAAACAGCTAATGAGAGCTATTCAATGTTGAGATTTGAGAACTAAGTAGCTCATTCATGAACTTATCCATCCCTTTATTCAACAGCGTTTTTACACGCTGCGTTTGGAAAAGTCTCAGAGGAAGTGGCTGTATTCAGAAGTTCAAAAATGAAGCCGTACCCTCGTTTTGGACCTGTCTACTAAAACAAAGAAATGCAAATATGTAAATTTCTGGTGAATTAAAGTGCCCCATTAGGAGTTCAATTATATTCTGAAATTATGTCTTAATTGCTTTGCTCATAGACGAGCTGTACAGCTAACCAAAAATCTACTGCCATATAATCATCACTAAATTTCAGATATTGCCACACATTAAATTAACAGCAGATAATGAGTGGGAAAATTAGCTCTATTTCCATAACAGAAAAAAAAACCCTCTTCCCATATTACCTAGAGTGCTTTATATAGCTAGTTTCAAAATAGAAAATACACAAACAAAACTCTCCTGAATATCTAACGTTTATCTTGATCAAAAGTCCAAGCATTCAAAATAAAGAGTCCAAGCAGAGCACACAGCAGATTTGTGTCTCTGATATTTCATTAAAAAGAAGCCACAACCCTAAACTTCCGTACAAATCGTCAAGAGATTGACATCTATTTTACTTTGATTCTTCCTGGCTATTTCTTTTCCACACAACTTTTGTCTTTTTGAGTAGCAATCCCCCTGCCCCACTACTCTGCATATTTTAATGTATAAGGAATTCCTGGTTCTCATCAGTATCACACACAGAAACTGCAAATGAGCCCGAGTTCGAAAAACTGGCAAGAAAGCAAGAATAAGGAATAACACTAAATGCAGAAAGAAACCCACCGAGCAAAGGACTCACAGTCTTGTAACTAAAAGGAGGAAAAGAAACCGAGCTCCTTCCATGTAGCTTATTTTTCACAGTAGTAGAACAAATAAAGTTACTAAAAAATAGTTAAAACTTTTGGAATTATAGTCAGGCTCCTGAACTTCAGCTGCTGTTCAATTTTGAAGGCAAAAACCCCTATCTAACTTATGACTTATGTACAAATGCGTAATATACATTATTTTTACTCACCTTTGCTGTCTGAAGGAAACAGATTTCAAAGATCTTGTCTGCAAACGATAGATTCTTCAAAATTTATGCCTCCAATGACCATCATCGTCAATAAGGATCTGAAGAAAAACACCACAAAGCCAGGTTAGTTGCAAATAGAATTAGGATTTTTAAAAAAAGGTACTTATTTTTTTTTAACCAAGAATGTATAAATACATACATTCATACATTGAATTATTAGCTGCTGCTAAAAACAAATAGACAAGCACCGGAGTCATTTCATAGGAAGGCATTTATCTGCTTGAGGCACAGAACAATTACTCCACATGAGTATATTGATGACTAAATACACCAAACTTCAGAAATTCAGTTACCATACCAAAATAACAGCAGCAGTCATCAATCCATGAGTTAAAGATTAAAAAAGACAAATAAAATGACAAATTACTATTGAAGTTTCTTATACTATAAGCACTAAAAGACTATGAAAAGTTAAACCACCTCCCTAAACTTTGAAAAGCCAAATTAAAGGTAACTTTAAGCCAAAGTCCCTAAAAATGCCAGTCCCTAAAATAATGGTTTTATTAAAAAAACCACATTATTCAACAGTATAACCACACAGTATCATTTATTAGTGCTGTTTTCATATTTCAGTACTGTAACTATGGAAAGATAAATTAAAAAAAAAAAAAGACTATGCTTATTAGTAAGGTTAGCATCGAATGAACCAGTCAACATACTTATTTCCTTTGGAATCAACCTAAAATGTCCAACAGATGCATTCTTTTTTCCAGGTCACAACTTTGAATGAGAAACCACTTGTCTATTTATTAATACCACAATTAAATTTCCACAGAGTAGCTGAGGTTGCCAGGAACCTCTGGAGAACATCTGGTCCATCCTACCTGCTCAAGCAGGGCAACCCAGAGCTGGTGGCTCAGGACTGTGACTAGTTGGACTTTGAGTATCTCCACGGATGGAGACTCCACAGACTCTCTGGACAACCTATTCCAGTGGTCAACCAGCCTCAAGTCCTGATCAGAATGTCCTGATCTTCTCTGCTCTGGAAGACATTTACTTAATGAAGGAACTTCCCAAGTGAGGATAAGCAACCCTTGACATACATGTTCCATAGGATATACCACATCAAGCCCCACTGGTCCCAGTATAACCTAACCTATGCTACAACACTTTGGAAATCTTTCAGTCCTCATTTAGCAACAGGTGCAATTAACTAGAAGATTAACGAAGCCAAAAAGCTTTCGCCTTGTCAACAGTTTTCCCCTCTGCTCAGTGGATTCCACTTGGTTCAGTCTTTCTCAGGTTATGGAGAATCCAACTCTGAGCAAAGGAAAACCCTTTGCTGACTCCTCTGACAGTACACAGCCACAAGCAACTAATTAACCTCAAATACATATTTTTTTAAAACCATGATTTATCTATTTACTCATTTATTTATTTGCAGGCCTGAGACACTGCCAGCAGTCAGGACACGTATGGAAAGGTGATCTCATCACCAGATCACTTGGCAGCCTCCGTGGATAATTTATTGCTGCTTAAAACCAGAATAGTTAAATACCTTTAATAGCAAAACTACTAAGCTTTTGCAGTTTGCCCCTATCAATGCAAAAAGTTATTTCAATCTCAGCTTTATCTGAATTGCCCAGGATTTGTTTCTTCTGAAGTCAATCCAAACCCGTGCAACTTCCATCACCTAAGAATGAACTCCTTTCAAACAACTTCTGCAAAAAAAAGCAAGTCATGGAATACTTAAACGGATGCTCTTTGCTCTTTCTAGTACTTCCAAAAATTTAAAAGCCCTGTAGAAAAAATAACTGTCAGATCAGTCTCGGAAATAAAATTGCATTGGCTGTACCGTGATTATGCTAACTCTCTTCTTCTAATGAAAAAATCCGAAAAAGAAATTGGATGTACGCTGTGCCTTGATGTTTGCCAAACTGAGACTTGATGGATTGGGATGGAAAAAAAAATCCCAGATACAAAATGACTCTATTAAAGTATTAAAAAGCTGCTGTGTAGGACCTGAAAGAGACCTTGCCCCAGCCCTGAAAGCGATGCTGCCACTGCATTTTCAGAGATGGCTCAAGAGAGGGATGAGGGGCAGGAGAGGAAGGGGGAAAAAAGGTGTTTCCAAATAATTTAAGGTTAACGAAATACCTCAAAGTGCACAGACGTCCGTAAAACAAACCAGCAAACAACAAGTTCTGCTCAGAAACTGCTCCAAGTCACTGAACAGCCCCATCTAAACCACCAAACGTGGCCACGTGATCATTAAACCTGAAACAATTACCTTAAATTTTTAATTCAAGATGCCTGTATCTTGTGCAGTCGTGACATACCCTCCTTTTGTCAGCTACGCTTGGCTCGGGCTGTACTTCTACTTGTTTTATTTGCCAAACCAATAAAGTCAGAGGCACAAACTGGTACGGAAGCCAAGGCAGAATCCATCACCAGATTTGTTTAATAAGCTGAGCGCGGAAGATACTTATCAGTGGTTACAGACCAGAATACACACCTGCTGACAGGGAGACCTTAAAATCCAAGATACACTGAGATCTGGAGTAAAAACTGGTTGCTTTTTTTTTTAAAGAATCCTCTACTTCTTCCAAGTAGTTCAGAGCCTGTGACTTTTTTCCCTAAAAGTGACTTTGAACATGTAATTCGGTGTTGGGGCTTTCTCTCAACTGCCCTTCCAACTTAGCATTCAATTCCCTTATGTTGAATCATACCCAGATCTCCCCAGATTTTTTAAGTGCCACTGAAAAGATATTTTTTTTTCCACCTGACAAATAAATCATTCTCACTTTGTCTTTTGTCTTAATAGATTTATTTTTTTTTGTTGTTGGCACTGAACCGCACAACCAAAATCCAGATATTTAAACTCCGCTCCCACTGCAGATGTTATTTCTGATCAGATTTAATCATCTTTCCCTCATACATAACAACTGCAATAATTGTAAGGGTATCATTAAATTTGATCTTGAAACCTCTAAGCCTTCGCAAAGGAGTTGGAGCATCGCATCACAGGGAAAAAGTCCCTTCTGTGTTAAACCACAGATTTCAGGGGAATCTTCTAAACCTCTTGGGACCTGTTCATTTTGCCGAAAGGCACCAAAGTGTTTTACTGTTTTTTTTTCTTTATACAATTTTACGATCATCATCCCAACAGCCAGAAGGAGTCACTATGATCTCATCTTCAATTAATGTGATTTTACCAATGAAATTAAAACATTTTCTTTTTAATCACACATTATCTTATTTACAATATCCGATTCCTCTACATCATTTGACATTGACACAAAAAAGACAGAGTTCCCTGGCACTAGAAATAAATGGACAGTCATAAAGAGACTCAAAACCCAGACATTTTCCATCTTGAACAGAGTCTATATTCTCTGTTTTACTTTATTTCTTTTTTTTAAATTCTCTAGCACCTTGTTTTGAATGTTGTTCCTCTAAATATCCTGGAGTATGAGGAGTTGGTTCTACAAGTTTCTGCACGCTAGTCTGGTGCCAACCCACAAAACATATGTCTCTGCTCAAATGGAAGAATCTGTTTTGATTTTTTTTTTTAATTTTTTTTTTTTTAAATTTCTTTCTGGACTGGGGACAAAACATTTCTTTGGATACAACTCAACATTTAATATCTTCTGAGATACGAAACTTTCTAAATCCCAAATATATTTTCGTCAGTTTATTCCCAAACAGCAACTTTGAAGAAGCAAAACCATCTGACCAAACGACAATAATCATTCAAAGTAAAGGCTCAAAAATCATCAAGGAAAAATAATAAATTGGTTTTAGGCATTATTTTTTATGCTCATGGGTGTTACTAAGTCTTAAAACCATCAGATTTATTTTTAACCTAAATATTTTATTGCATAGCTATGCAAAAACACAGATATATTTTTCTAATGTCATTAGCTTTCCATTTCTTCCCACTCTAAATAGCTCTTATGCTCTATTTTTGTATTACTTGGGAAAAGGTAGATTTTTTTCCCGCTATTATTGACACAACATCACCAAGTATTGTCAAACCATTTAAAAAACACCTTGCACACTAAAAACGATACGGTGCAGAGCAGCTTGACCCCCCAGCTGAGATCTCCAGAGGAGCCTCTGGGCCCGAGCAGAGCTTTGATGGTGAAACCTTGTTTTTCGGGGAGTTGTGGGAACCATCTGCATCCACCCCATGGCGGGGGTTTGCTTTTAATTACAATATCACAAATGCAAACAAACCCACCCTAACCCCCATAATTAAATATTTGCTTTAGTTTCAGCAAATTAGCTTCTTGAAAGAGCCATCTTCTGACTAAATCAAAAATAACTTTGATGAAGTTACATGTGTTACTTTAAATCACAGGGGTGAAAAACACAGAATCACATGGGGTTGGAAGGGACTGTTACACGTGTTACTTTAAATCACATGGGTGAAAAACACAGAATCACATGGGGTTAGAAGGGACCTCTGGAGATCATCCAGTCCAACCCCCTGCCAGAGTAGGTCCACCCAGAGCAGGTCCCACAGGAACGTGTCCAGGGGGGTTTGAATGTCTCCAGAGAAGGAGACTCCACCACCTCTCTGGGCAACCTCTGCCAGGGCTCTGCCACCCTCACAGCAAACAAGTTCCTCCTCAGGTTGAGATGCAACTTCTTATATTCAACTTTGTGCCCATTTCCTCTTGTCCTGTCCCTGGGCACCACTGAAAAAAGCCTGGCCCCATCCTCCTGACACCCACCCTTGAAGTATTTATAGGTGTTGATCAGATCCCCCCTCAGCCTTCTCTTCTCCAGACTAAAAAGCCCCAAGTCCCTCAGCCTTTCCTCAGCAGAGAGATGCTCCAGGCCCCTCATCATCTCTGTAGCCCTCTGCTGTACCTTCTCCAGCAGTTCCCTGTCCTTCTTGACAGGCACTGAGCTTCACAGAGATGTTTGGGTATTAAAACCCAGCCTATTATCTTGGACAGGTGCAAAATTTCAGAGCATTTTCTTTTAGAGAAGAGAATCTACGTGAGAAATACTACAAAGGCTTTGCCATCTCCATCAGTCATCCGCCTCTGGGAGGTATGTTTTGCTTAGTTGTGAGAAAAAACCCAAATTTAG